CAGGCCAAAGGAGTCGAGGTGTCCTACGATGTCGTACCAAGATAGACTGTAGCTACAGAATCAGGCCAAAGGAGTCGAGGTGCCCTTCGATGTCGTACCAGGATAGACTGTAGCTACAGAATCAGGCCAAAGGAGTCGAGGTGTCCTACGATGACTGCTAACGTGGCATTGTTTGTGTGTCAGAGGTGTTAATATATATAATTCTGCCGCTGTACTTTTATTACGAGGACATAATTTTGAGCATGTTTCAAAGACAAGAATCATACAACACGACTAATTATGATCTTATTCATCCTTGGCTTATCATTAATACAGTAATTACTATATATTCAAAGACTTCTTTAAGAAATTAACGTCTACAAAGACATATTACTGGGCCCCATATCAATGCACGTTAAAGAGTAAAATTTCCTTAGCTCCATTTTCCCAAAAAATCTGAAAAAATAATCGGCATATAATCATGCGTAGTATTTTAACATTTTAATGATGTTTTCTTATGTTAATAAACTATATGCAGATATTTATACGAATATAAAGAAAATATGAATAAAACTCAACTTAACGATGTGAAACATTGTTGGACTATATACCCACATGCTGACTTCAGACCTGTGTGATCCTGACTCCTGTGTGCTGACTTCAGACCTGTGATACCATACAAGTATTGTTGCATAATTGTTGTTTTGATTTTCTACACATTAAATTGTCCAGTGTGTTAAAGAATTGGCATAAACTGTAAACATACATATTTTGATACAATAAAAAACTTCAAATTTCAACAGGTAAGCGCATTGATTAATTTGGTGCTACCACAATATATGGAATAGAAAGCTACTAGTACAGTAAAACCTCATTATACTGCCACTATATGTCTAGGTAAATTTTGGCATTATAAAGCGGTTTGGTGATAAATCAAGGGAAACATGTAAAATAATTCTTTAGAAAAAAGGGGAAAAAAGGACCATGTTACCTATATTTGTAGTGAGGGTACTTTAAGTCTTTAACTTTCAATGATCTATAAGGTCTATTCATCACCATATATATACTCATATGACAGTGCATCTTGCGCAAGAATAGGTCCTCTACATCAGCGTTCCTTGTCCGCGATGCTCTCAGCTTAATTGCTTCCTTCGGCTGTCTTTAGCCGAGGGGACTATTGGTTTTATATAATAGCTATATTTTCAATTATAGTATATCAATTCTATCTTCTTGTAATATGATGTATATGTACATGTAACTGTTCTGTTTCACTGTATCTTGAAAAAGGAGCGTATCGCTCCGAAAATTTGACAACCTAAACTTGTCCACACTGTTGGATTTACTTCTTTGCCCCACATCACTATAAACATATATATATATATATATATATATAACCCGCGCCAAAATTCATGAAGCTGTTCTCATGCTGAAACTCAGATTCTGCGCTTAAGCCAAATGTCGTATTCTGTTAACAAATCAATACAAGTAAACTTTTTATCTATGATTTGGAAGAGTTTTGGAGAAATTTAAAACCAAATATTGTCTTCAGTGCTTACACTTTACTTTTGCCCACGTCACAGTATTTAAACGAATTCCAAGAAAGTTGGTTTGAGTACAGAACCCGTACTTGAGCATGATAATATTCTCAGTAAACAGGTTATGGTGTTACATTATTCACGAGAATTTATAGAACGCACGAGGAAGACAGATCCAATAAAGCTATCTGTCATGGACGTGTAAAGATTAACGCGTATGAATTCAGAATCACTGGAAAAAATAATGCCAAGACTTACAGAAAAAACGTGAATCTAATACATTTGTGACATGTCCTTCACACAAAATGCGTTTTCTGCATAGATGTGTTCTGTTGATGAACTTATATACACATATACAACGTGACGTAGTAGGTAATCTACGACTGGACATCAAAACGACCGATTTCCTACTTGGCGGATCCCTTATTTGTCATGACTAATGACATGGTCAGTGTGTTTGGGTCATTAGCGACAGACAAACATTTCTGGACTGGACAGGAAACTTTATGACGGATGACTTATGTAATACGGGGGAAATGTACCATCCGGAATGTCTGGTTCCGCTTCCGGTTTTTGGTTGATAATATCTCCAATAATTAATTGCTTTGTGCTCGAATTATGTCAGTTGTATTCTCGATTTTGTCACTGTGTCGTGAAATTTGTACTTGTACTTTTTCGTTACGTTAAAATTTACTTTTAAGTATAATGTATAACAAATAATATCAATGTGACGCTGTGCTATATAGATTGTCATTTGGTGTTGACGTTGTGCTTTATTTTGTCCTTGTATGCTGACACTGTGGTCTAATTTATCCTGGAGCGGTATATTTTGTCCTTGTATGCTGACACTGTGGTCTAATTTATCCTGGAGCGGTATATTTTGTCCCTGAATGTTAACAATGTGGTCTAATTTATCCTGGAGCGGTATATTTTGTCCTTGTGTGTTAACAATTTGGTCTAATTTATCCTGGAGCGGTATCTTTTGTCTTTTTGTGTTAACAATGTGGTCTAATTTATCCTCGAGCGGTATATTTTGTCTTTGTTTACAATGTCGTCTAATTTGTCCTGGTGTACTGTCGCTGTGATGTTTTTTGTCCTTGTGCATTGACGCTGTGGTATATTTTGGCCTTGTATGTTGACGCTTTGATCTTATTTGTCCTTGTGTGTTGACGTGTGGTTTAATTTGTCCTTGTGTATTGACGTGTGGTTTAATTTGTCCTTGTGTATTGACGTGTGGTCTAATTTGTCCTTGTGTGTTGACGCTGTGGTCTAATTTGTACTTTTGTGTTAACACTGTGGTCTTATTTGTCCTTGTGTGTTAACACTATGGTCTCATTTGTCCTTGTGTATTAACACTGTGGTGTAATTTGTCCTTGTGTATTGACGTGTGGTCTTATTCGTCCTTGTGTATTGACGTGTGGTCTAATTTATCCTGGAGCGGTATATTTTGTCCTTGTGTGTTAACAATGTGGTCTAATTTGTCCTGGACCGGTATATTTTGTCCCTGAATGTTAACAATGTGGTCTAATTTGTCATTGTGTATTGACGTGTGGTATATTTTGGCCTTGTGTATTGACGCTATGGTCTTATTTGTCCTTGTGTGTTGACGCTGTGGTCTAATTTGTCCTTGTGTATTGACGTGGGGTCTAATTTGTCAGTGTGCGCTGTCGTTTAGGAATGTATCTGATGTTGTGTTGATGTTGTTGGATTGTTTGTCCGTTCTGGTTTGGCCTTTTTTTGTCTTGTGTGTTGATGCTTAGGTTTATTTTGTCATTGTGTTTTGACGGAATACTTCGTCCGTGGGGGTTTAAATAAAGTGCGTTAAAGCCTGGTACAGTGTGTATGTATAATGACACTGACGTTTATCCTGTCGTTGTGTGTGGATATGTGGAATAGTTTGATCTTGTGTGTTATGACGTTGTGGTTTATCTGGAAAGTTATCATAACTATAGAAAATAGAACGTTCCTTCTGGAGAAATGGCTGTTGCACAAAATGGTAAAGCGGCATGTTTAAAATGCACCAAGTCAAGATATACAGAACGATAATTTATATTTCCCTTTGTTCTGTTTAATATAAAAACAAACCCAGTGGTTAACAAGCACATGTTCTTCTAGAATACGCATTTCAATATATATCATATATCAGCGTAAATCTGATATAATTAACGCTGGTGGATAACAAACTACATGTTGTGATTTCGGATATAAAGGCAGTCTGACTGGTATTCAAATTGTACAGTAACGCTCAGCTCATGGATGACGTCATTCATATGTTATAGTTAAATATAATGCTATTCTATTATTTGTATTGGAAAATCACGGTCTGGCTATGCTGATGAAATTTGTTTCAGATTGCGAACAATTAATTACAAAATATTTGAACAGTCAAATTGTTTTTTGCTCTTGTTTGTTATAAAACGTGATGCACGCATTACCTGTATTCGGTTTTATGTGATAAATTGATATATTTTGACTTTAACTATTAATCACGTGACATTTCCGATGTTTTGGGACAGAAGATGTTTCCTGTTTTACGCCTGTGCTGGGGTTTCCTGCGAGTCGTTGTAATTATCGGGTAGTCACGGATCAATATCAGGATTTATATAGAGAACACATTAGAATGCTAAGAGCAAAGAGTAATATTGTGTCCACCAGGTAAGTCAGTAATGCAATCATGTAGTATTTGCTCCGTCATATAGCAATGACAAATATGTCTTTTTGTTTTAAAGAATGCTGACTTTATGCAGTTTTTACTGCTCTCAAATTATTTTTACTAGATGTTCATTATGTTCACAAGTTATAACATTTTTGAAATGATAGCACTCTATGTGTACTTTTTATACATATCATGTATCAGATTATTTTATCTTTTATTATAAATAACTATTATATAATAAATAAAAATAGTTACTAAAGAAAATGAAGTTATTAACTTTATTTAAACAACCAAATATACCATACTGTAGGAAAACAATACAACGTATTTAATATTTTATGAAAAAAAAAGAATTCTAAACGAAAATTAGGTCTTATTTCGTCACTTAGCGAGCAAATGATTGCTTTATTGTGTCTATACACATCTATAAATCTATAAATGGTTATTTTACATATGTGTTTGCATTTATTAATCTAGATGCATATTTGTTAATTTACTTTGTTCATATCTGGTTATCGCATAGTCTGGTGTAGGTATAAAGACACGACTGAATCAATAGCGTTACTTTACTCATTGCTCATCTAATAATAGGGGGTAAGCTATTATTTCACGCTATATCTTTATGTATCATCACGAGATATAGCTATAACGTGTGCGACCTGGTATCAAGGGGAATTCATATTTTTTTGCGCCTGAGAAAATATATTTAGCATAATTTCATCGTCAATGGATTGTCACCTACTGGTCATCACTGTAGCAAACTATTATTTATAAGCGTTTGATGCAAACAAACTATCAAAAGTTGTCTTTTTAATTTGTCAAAGCAGGGAAAGAGAAAAGGAACAAAAGAAGAATCGTGCGATTTGAAGTGGACAAGCTTTTATATCACTATCAGTCACTTTTACAATTAGAAGGTGCCACACCATCGTGACCATCGTGACCACCGTTACACCTTGCAGTGGTATACCTAAACTGTATTTTCGACCTTAAACACCAGTTATGATCCTCCATTTCCTCTTGGTTATCTGGTCACTCCCTCCAATGCTTGTTCATTCCATTGAACTTGGTCAACGGATAAACACCACTAGCATACTGACAGAATACACACTTGTGTGTGGATTTGATTACCTATGTGACCCTAGCTCGGTAACATTGCCGGACAAACAGAGAGCTCCAACACCTATGGGATATTCTCACATCATTACGTGCCCACATTGTTCATGCAATATGACCAGCTGCTTTGTTGAAAAGAACTGCTGTCCGGATATCGTGTTCCGGTATCCCGATATGTCGTGTGTTAGCCTCGCACTGTCTAACGACACTCACGGAGATGCTGCACTGATGGTAACGACCTGTCCGCCGGATACCCCTCCGGATGTCAACATAGCATGTACAATAGACGAATACAACAATGCCAACAAAATAACACTTGTTCCTGTGTCCTCTACAACAGACAATGTTGTCTTCAGGAACGACAACTGTGCAAAATGTCACGGACAAGGAAACAACTTTACCAACTGGAACTTTAATATAGAATGTGACCGAATGGTAGACATCAACCAGTTGTCAAGTTACGAGGAAATATTCCAATCCGGCCTAGATAACATGTGTCAGATGAACTATCTGTCACCTCGTACACTTGGCCACTTTGCATGTTCCGGAGAGGATATCTACCTAAACCTGAAACCGTGCAATATTACCGGACACTGGCCTGTGTATGATGCAGCTATAGATTTTGCTTGCAGAAATATCCAGTCACGATATAGAGGATTTGAAAACATTTTCTGTTTTGTTTGTAACCCCAGTAAACCAGAGACCAGCCCCCTTATTTCTGCTTGTAACAAAACTGGGATGTGGGACACGTATGATTCTGAGTTAGAATCGGCATGTCTTCAATATCCACAATCACAAATAGCATATCCTTTTAAAAATAGGTTTTGTTATTTGTGTAATAGAGTAAACAACATGTCTGTCACATTTATGGACGCAGAAACCATAATAGCATGGGAGAAATGGGAATATGTTTACGATAATTCATATGAAGCAGTATTTGGGATAAAATCTTTCCGCCATGGAGAGATACCCTATGTAAACATACCCAAACTCATATTCAACTCTTCTGTCATTCTATCTGACGAGCGTTTCAGTGCTAACGTAAATGTTTCCAAACTGTTATTTCTTCATTACCTCCATTTCGGATTCGAAGAACGCTGCCCCGGTAACGCAGCAGTCGACACCTATGGTCCATACCAGCAATGCATATGTAACCCAATGTGCGTTACTATATCGCGGTGCTGTCCCGAGTTTGCAATGAGTGGACCGGTAAAATACACCAACGAGTTTGAGAATTCACTTTCGGTTTCAAAATGTTACAGAAATAAAGAGTTTGCTAACTTCACTCTTCAAGACAAATGTGAAGTAGACCGACCATCTTTTGGTATTTTTCACATTCCAGTCAGATCTAGAAACTCGGGTATTCTGTATCGTAACGTATACTGTTTTCTTTGTAATGAGGGACAGGAAGCTTCGGACGACGTCGGAACAGAGCCAGAATACGATCCACTAGATCTCATGATCAAATGCAATTTTACGTTTCAAACCGAACGATATGTATCCCTGCAAGATATGCTGACTGATTTCACTCGGATGGAACATGACGGGAAAGGAGAACATTGTACCGTCTCTACCGTTTATGACCTGTTAGACAATAGCAAACTTATTCCGGATACTATACACACGTGTAATGTTACCGGAAACTGGGATGTATATGATTTCGATATCGAATGGGCTTGCCTACACTACTTTACAGAGATAACGAGGGATTTTTATTTAAAAAAATATAAAAACATATTTTGTGAGATGTGCAACACGGCACTTGATACTGGTGTTGAATTCACGTCGTGTAACCTAAAGGGATTCTACGTGGATAACAATTCTACTATCAGTGATGATTGTGAAAGATATCCACAAGTGACTTCTATGAAGCCTTACAAAAACGCTTTTTGTATGCTATGCAATGCCCTACCACCGTTACCCCCTCCTATGTTCACTGAGATTGCAGTTACAACGGACGACAACTCTTGGTATAACGACCTGTCCTGTTCACCGGGAACCGACATACAGTTTGATGGCGTGATTACATCTACAATAAGGGATTTATTTTCCATCAGCGCTTCACCAGAGTTATCAAGCGGCGTGGACAATGTATTCACCTCGTACGGAAACCATTGTGTGGAAAACGAAATTTACGACATAGAAAAGGTATTTACCACTTTTCTTGCATATTTTTGCATGTTCGTTACAATACCACATGCATCTTACTTTGTTGACATAAAAACTAAACTAAACTAAAAACGAAAACAAACAAATCAAAACGGGAGGGGGTTGTTTGTTAAAAAAATAAAGAAACAAATCAAAACAATAAGATACGATCCCTGGCAATAATGGTTATGAAGCAGATATGTTCCCCACTTCGCATTCTCGATACTCCAGGGGTTATGCTCATATACGCTCTACACTGAACCTTCGATTTTGTCATAGCAAACTCTAAATAATTGAGCGTAAGCTCTGGAGTATCAAGAATGCCCACTGCGCTACTGTTAATAATTGCTTTGGTTTTACTAATTTTCTTCAACACTACTATACATGACTTAAAGAAATGTTTTAGTACTCTAAAAAAACCACATGTTGAGTTAAAATATATAATAATAACCGCTGTAACACCATTGTAATTCATCAATGGAAATAAGGACATCATCCATTAAAAAAAAACAAAAAAAAACATGCACTCAACTCGAGCAGTATTGTGGAAGATGAAGTGTACAAAAGGTTTTATTAAGGTTTCACAATGTATAATAGAATACAAAATCCGCTTATCTCGAATCCGAATATAACAGATACTAATTTTAAATTGAACTTCTAATTAGGTACCGAAAAACACAATTATTATACATTCATATGAATTTATGTACTGAAATACACATCAGTCTGCCTGAAGAAGCATAGAAAGGCCTAGCGGTTGATCTTGGATACTTGTATATTGCGTTCGAACGTATGAATAATTCGATCCTTGTCGAGAAATTTCCGAATGAGGAAGTTCACTTTCAGAGGAAGCATTCTCTGAGAAACTCTATTTTGTTTGATGCGATTTTTCAGCACTTTATTGAGAAACGAATACATTGTCAGTTTGAAAATAAACAATAAGCAGTGGATACTAAACATAGATTTGTCTACCCGCACGTATTGCCAACGATATACCGGGCACTTGTTAGCTATATATGCCAACGATATACCGGGCACTTGTTAGCTATATATCATGATTATTTTACCAATTCAAATGTTTATAGGATTGAATAAAAACAAATTACTTATTTTAAGCACCATTCAATTTAATAATCAAACGCAAGATAGGACACATACAATAATAGAGGAATGGAAAAACAATTGTTTAGTGTACGTGAAAATATATAGAGAATAATACATATCACACCCAGTATCAACCCGAGACTGATATTGGTCGAGGGTTGATACTGGGTGTGATATGGAAAAAGGTATGTTTTATTCTGTTTATTACATACTTACTAATAAAAGCTACTATCTTATTATCTATTTTTCTTTTGAAATATTGAAAAACGATAAATTTCCAAAAGGGGTGTGAAACGGGTTTTGGGGTGTGATAAGTCGGGGCTAATACGGCTTTTGGGGTGTGATACGGCGAGGGCTGATATAGGTAAGAGCAATTGTGTCGTATCGCATATACACAAAAAACGTATTTATTAGTAAGTATGTAATAAATAACAACTCATTCATCACAGTCTAACACTGACAATGGATTGATACGAACAATTTCTAATGATTATGATTAGCCAGTACCTCACTGACGAATATAACCAAGCAGAATGTAATGTTTACAGTGTATTGAATTTACATCCAAGTCTAAATTCCAAAGCTATCGAAATGGTAAACAATGTCTAATGTCAAAAGCAGGAAGATCATCATATCAGTGATCAATGAGATTTCATTGTTAAAAATGCTACTCTAGAATTTCATTTGGCTTATTTTCATAATCTTCCGTTTGTTACTAAATTGGATCGTTTTTTAGGGTTGATTCCCTCCAGCGCATTGAATATCAATGTACTAGGAACTATACGTATCTCGGGTAGCATGATTCGCTTTAACACTAGTGGGTCACTAATTCTGAACAACCTTTTTGAAGTAAAAAATATACTTATTTTTCTTGTTACCAATTCATCTTTGCTTTATTTCAGAGTTCTTGCATTTTACAAGAATGCGCTGGAGGAAAGATGCTGCAAGGTGAAAACTGCATTCCTCTTCTTCAGTTGACATCTTCCCTGGGATACACTTTGGCGCTAAGGCTCACGGGAAGTGTACTTCCATCTAAGAATATTGCAATGGAAAACATTTTATACGATTTGGAAAACATTGTATATAAATATATAGCATATGAGTTAAGTACCTCGCCGCGTATTGTTTCCTCGTACATATCGACAGCTAACCGTTGCAGACAACATATACAGTTAGGTGAAACGATAAACATCACGTTTTCTTTTTACACGTCTTTCTATTTAGAGGCCGTGGTGAACAGGTATGACGTAGAAAGTAGGTTGATAAACTTAACAAACCGTACAATTATCCACAAAACTGACATATTAGACACTGATATACTAGTTGAGACACACCATTCAGCTTTAGATTTGCCAGGGGAGATAATTTTGTTAGATTTTGAAGCAAACTGTTTCCGTGTAACACAAAAAGATTTGAAATATGATAGGAATGCTTACAGGTTGAAATTAGTATCGAAGTTATTGTTGTGTCCACGAGTTAGAATCGAAAAGGACAGATACGAAATTGACAGCAGATCGCGCAGGATGACATTACTGCCAAACGGACCAGTTCTTTCTTTTGAAAACTACGAATTCTTAGCCAACACGTCAGTGTTAATTTGCGTAGAAGACTTTAAAGAAATGATAGAAGGTAGGACGTCGGAGTCAGAACAGGATTTGCTGTCGTCAATTCTTGGTGTTCTGTCATTTTTGTGCACGTGTTTATCAATGGTGTGTCTCATCATCACCTTCCTGACGTACTGTTTCTTTGCCGAACTACGTACCATACCAGGTAAAAACAATATGAGTCTCATATTCTCTCTATTCTTTTCCCAGGGTTTGACGCAGTTTGGAATGATACAAACTAAACACACAATTCCATGTACGATCATAGCCATCTGTATTCACTTCTTCTGGCTATCGACCTTCTTCAGTATGAACATATGTTCCTTTCATATGTTCAGGGTGTTTGTTTTTCCGTTGAAGGAAGTCAAACGTGCTCATAGATGGACCTGCTTTTGTTACGTCTGTTATATTTTCGGGATGTCGGCCTTGATTGTGATTCTATATATAGCATTGTCTGTGACTGTGTTTGAGGTTGATAACCTTGGGTACACAGGGAATGGAAAATGTTTCCTCACATCTTTTGAGTCAGTGATCGCTACTTTCATATCGCCTGTAATTTTGGTTTGTGTTTTCAACATCGTATTCTTTGTCGTAGTAGCTTACAAAATTTCAACGGCACCAAAAGTTCCGTCGAACAAAAACGTACGTCAGGAATTTCCTCTCTATGTTAAACTGTTTGTTCTTACTGGCGCGACGTGGACTTTTCAAATCATAGATGCGTTTATTCCTTTGTCAGTTTTCTCTATCATCTCTGGAATTATTAATTCCTTACAGGGAGTTTTTATCTTTTTGTCATACTCTGTAAATAGCCGTGTTCGCAAATTCTACAAAGAAAGACTATCCAGTACCAGGATTTCTCGTGTATCACAAAAACGAACCGTTGCCGGAAGGTCAAACTATGACAGTTTTCAAAGTGATGAACAATCACAATCGGATTCACGTTTATGAAGTATTTACTTTGGGTAAGATATTATCACCAAAAATCCCATATGTGATGGAAAATATGCAGACGTGTATTAAAGTTATAACTACGTTCATGCCTGCAATTGAACACCGAGCTTAACCATATACAAAAGTAAGTTTACAGTTCAAAAAAATGTAAACCAATAAAGAAAATAAAGCAAAAGTTAATGCAATGCATTAAATGCAAATATTTAAATTAAAAGGTCATGAAACTAGCTACTCTGAAGATGGGCGTTTCACGTACAGCATGTGTCACCCACCATGGTTTCTCTTGCTCAATAAATTCCGGCCACGATCTGGCTATGTTATGATGTTTGTTGTTAATTACAATAACTGAGAGACATAAGTTACCCTTGATCTCGGTCATGCTGTGTCCTTCAACATAAAACATATAGTAGCCACCATCGCACTAAGATAGCGGTCTACCTTTAAATCGTTAGGCAGGTCTCAGACAGGGTCAACCGGTCTGAAACAAATCAAATCAGGTATCCTAGTCAATTATAAATATTGATTTTTCCATTTGTGGTATATATTTGAGGAAAAAAAAATATTGGCACGTGATGGCATATATAACGAGGAAGAGAAAATGTTAAAAAACAATTATTAAAGAAGTTCACTTTGGACCGAGTAAATAATTGTTCCAATATTTTCCGATACCGAGTAAGATAAAATCAAATGTACTTTCGTGTATTTACCCAAGTGCGGCTGTAATGCAGCGTGACTTTGATCATCCAGTTATTTTTAATGAGGCTGTTCTTTTATGCTTGTACTGGCAGTTGTCACATGATCGCTTCGTCTTCTTTGCCAATGCCTTGTCTTCCCTACTCTCCGATGAATTGATAGTCTCTTGTAATACCCAGCACCTGATTTACCTGAGTCAGAGATACCTGTCTGTTTGTCCCATCACTGAATGTAATACCCAGCACATGATTTACCCGAGTCAGAGAGACATGTCTGTTTGTCCCATCACTGAATGTAATACCCAGTGTCTGATTTACCCGAGTCAGAGAGACATGTCTGTATGTCCCATCACTGAATGTAATACCCAGCACATGATTTACCTGAGTCAGAGATACCTGTCTGTTTGTCCCATCACTGAATGTAATACCCAGCACATGATTTACCCGAGTCAGAGATACCTGTCTGTTTGTCTCATCACTGAATGTAATACCGTGCACCTGATTTACCTGAGTCAGAGAGACATGTATGTTTGTTTCATCACTGAATGTAATACCCAGTGTCTGATTTACCTGAGTCAGAGAGACATGTATGTTTGTCTCATCACTGAATGTAATATCCAGTACCTGATTTACCTGAGTCAGAGAGACCTGTCTGTTTGTCTCATCACTGAATGTAATACCCAGTACCTGATTTACCTGAGTCAAAGAGACCTGTCTGTTTGTCTCATCACTGAATGCTCTTACCTCATTTGTAGGTAGTTGCTTTAGTAATACAGTTGACGATCAATAACGGACACTACGTGACGTCATGCTTATACGAGATGGTTAATTCAATCAATCAAATCACCAATCTATTGACACCGCTCCCAAACAAGTGAAATCAACACTTAGCAGACTACAAACACTATTAAACAGATGTAAAAGTCCAAAATAATATATTGCTGAAGATATTTAAAATATAGGCAAAAATGCACGCATGTTCCGTACAGAAACGATTCAAGGGAACTATTACTCTTTAACTGATTTAACCAAAATTAATTTTTAAAAGCAAATATTAAAATTATTGAATGATTCTACATCCAATATTTTTTTTAATATATTGTGGATGTGGATTTAAAACATATTTTAAACAATATCGATTTTAATATTATCAATTGATTACTAAAATATGAAATAGAATGTGTTTGTGTCGCCTATCTTAGATATCTTGAAAAGCAAAAAATATGTATAAATGGTGGTACTTTATCAGTATACGTGTGAGATTGAGTTCAACATATATCAATTGCATCATCACATTTGAACATGTTTTGTGCATAAATTTAAAAACATGCTCACATCCAGCAATCAGCTGGTTATTCAAAATGATAATGATAATATTTGTTTAGTGTAACATGTATGGTTCGATTACAACTTCAATATTATTTAAGTTGTTGCAGTGTCTTTGATGCTTTGACAAAACTTTATTTTTGTATTTAACTTGAATGTAACCTTTGTATTGCATCCGGACATTTCTATATTTTCCTTTATCATTGTTTTGTATATATTTTATGTCGTATGTATTTGTTAATGTCAGATATAATAAAGACACTTCGGTCTTGAAGTTAACCAATACTTCTCTCATTTGTATCATTCATACAATTTAGGGGCTTAATGCACCTCCCCTATTTTAACAGTAGTTTAGACCGATGTGGATTTCCACCTTTTTTTGAGGTCACTATATATTAATCATAATGTACACAATTTATATAGCGCCCAATATACTCTATGCTCAATTCGACCACCTTTGAACATATTATATTTGCATAAGGCAATATTGATATACACTTTGCATGTACATTAGACTGTTTATGAAACATAAGTATTTTGTTTATCTTCGTGGCTCCATCGCTCTGTATGCACAGATCCACATTTAATGACGATGACAGTTCAGCGTGACAGCATCCCTCTACACATGTTATCTATGGTGGCGGTCATGTCATCCCTCTACACATGTTATCTATGGTGGCGGTTATGTCATCCCTCTACACATGTTATCTAAGGCGGCAGTCATGACATCCCTCTACACATGTTATCTAAGGCGACAGTCATGTCATCCCTCTACACATGTTATCTAAGGCGGCAGTCATGTCAATTCTCTACACATGTTATCTAAGACTGCAGTCATGTCATCCCTCTACACATGTTATCTAAGGTGGCAGACATGTCATCCCTCTACACATGTTATATAAGCGGCAGTCATGTCATCCCTCTACACATGTTATCTAAGTCGGCAGTCATGTCATACCTCTACACATGTTATCTAAGGCGGCAGTCATGTCATCCCTCTACACATGTTATCTAAGGCGACAGTCATGTCATCCCTCTAAACCTGTTATCTAAGGCGGCTGTCATGTCATCCCTCTACACATGATATCTAAGGCGGCAGTCATGTCGTCCCTCTACCCGTGTTATCTAACGTGGCAGTTGTCATCACTCTACACATGATAACTAAGGCGGCGGTCATGTCATCCCTTTACACATGTTATCTATGGCGGCGGTGATGTCATCCCTCTACACATGTCATCTCAGGCGGCAGTTGTGTCATCCCTCTACGCATGCTATCTAAGGCGGCAGTCATGTCATCCCTCTACACATGTTATCTAAGGCGGTAGACATGTCATCCCTCTACATATGTTATCGAAGGCGGCAGACATGTCATCCCTGTACACAGGTTATCTAAGGCGGAGACATTTCATCCCTTTACACCTGTTATCTATGGCGGCGGTCATGTCATCCCTCTACACATGTTATCTCAGGCGGCAGTTATGTCATCCCTCTACGAATGTTATCTAAGGCGGCGGTCATGTCATCCCTCTACACATGTTATTTAAGGCGGCAGACATGTCATCCCTCTACACACGTTATCTTAGGCGGCAGTCATGTCATTCTTCTACACATGTTATCTAAGGCGGCAGACATGTCATACCTCTACACATTTTATCTAAAGCGGCAGTCAGGTCATCCCGCTACACATGTTATCTAAGGCGGCGGTCATGTCATCCCTCTACGCATGCTATCTGAGGCGGCAGTCATGACATCCCTCTACACACGTTATCTAAGGCGACAGTCATGTCATCCCTCTACACACGTTATCTAAGGCGGCAGTCATGTCATCCCTTTGCACATGTTATCTAAAGCGGCAGTCATGTCATCCCTCTACACATGTCATCTCAGGCGGCAGTCATGTACATGTTATCTAAGGTGGCAGACATGTCATCTATCTACACATGTTATCGAAGGCGGCAGTCATGACATCCCTCTACACACGTTATCTTAGGCGGCAGTCATGTACATGTTATCTAAGGTGGCAGACATGTCATCACTCTACACATGTTATCGAAGGCGGCAGTCATGTACATGTTATCTAAGGCGGCAGTCATGTCATCCCTCTACACATGTTATCTAAAGCGGCAGACATGTCATCTCTCTACACATGTTATCTAAGGCGGCAGTCATGTCATCCCTCTACACATGTTATCTAAAGCGGCAGTCATGTCATCCCTCTACACATGTTATCTAAGGCGGCAGTCATGTCATCCCTCTACACATGTTATCGAAGGCGGCAGTCATGTCATCCCTTTACTAATGTTATCTAAGGCGGCAGACATGTCATCCCTCTACACATGTTATGTTATCTAAGGCGGCAGTCATGTCATCCCTCTCCACATGTTATCTAAGGCGGCCGTCATGTCATCCCTCTACACATGTTATCTAAGGCGGCAGACATGTCATCCATCTCCACATGTTATCTAAGGCGGCAGTCATGTCATTCCTCTACACATGTTATCTAAGGCGGCAGTCATGTCATCCCTCTACACATGTTATCTAAGGCGGCAGACATGTCATCCCTCTCCACATGTTATCTAAGGCGGCAGTCATGTCATTATTGACACGAAGAAAGGTCAGCAAACTGTGTCTTGTTCAATAGACCGTTTGAAGCAGGTTGGCATGGAGATAATGAGATGGACGATGAGACACAATATCCTCAATGGTCTTTAGTAAGATCGGTAAATTTGTTATTTGGCGATAGTTCTTTATTACCTCTTGTCTGTTCAAAGGTTCTTCAACAGTGGTCTAAAATTAACGGTCTTGAAAGTCAACAGAATCTTAGACTCTGTAAATGATTTTTGTCATGACTGAGTTAATGATAAACAGTTCTGCAAGACAGGCATCAGTAGACATGCTGGATGCAGATCCAGCTCACAAAACGTCGAATTTCAGGACTAACACGACTCTTCTCGATTTTTTATGCGACCTATGTCAACAGTTCTTTGATGACATAACATGTAGTTTTTAACGTAGATGGAAGTCTACCTGATATGACACACTGACTAAATAGTTTACACGTGAACAAAGTGCTTCAATAAAAAAAGGTCCAGATACTTAGAATATGTCTTCCAGTAGCGATTATATTTTTCCTAGTGTGTTATGCTCGGATAGTTTTTTTCAAATTTATGCCATGAACTTTTCGCCTTGCAAAACCTTCATCTTAAATACATGTTTTTCGTATCGTAAAAAACGACCAGGGAGGTGATATGTTTTTCAAGTCCAAGTAAGAGCTAGATGAATTTGTAAAAACAAAATAAATAATGAAAATTAGGATGATACAAAATTGATCGGAAAAAATAAATGATTGGCGTGGAGTAGAGATTATAATACTTTGTCAATTAATGTGGAGGTACTGGACATAATATGATATTTAGCAAATAAACATTACTTTTCAAAAAAGTTAGAATGAAGCAAGTAAAAATAACTCCAATATTTCATTTATTTTTTTCAATTTATTAGAAAAAGCTTACTCGACAATTCTAAAACAATTCTAAACGACACTTGTTTCCATACGGTATATGTTTGCATGTGGCAGAGTAAGGCACCGGGACGAGGAGTAAATATATAATACCAGCCTTTTCATCGTTACATTACAATAGACATACATTTGGATTATGCAGGAGAAACTATCCCTCTTCAAACTAACATCGGTTGACAAACATGAGAATTGAAATTGAAAGTGGGAAATGGAATCCATCTCAAGCCACCATGCCAACACGTAATAACAGAAGTTTGTCACCGGGATATTTATCATAAGCCATATTCAATCACAATAGTGTAACAGCTAAGGTATATGAGGGGAAAATACTGCCTTACTGGCAATCTGGCTTTCCCTGTGATGCGGTTTAACCCTGGGACCCGCTCACTAGTTCAACAACTTCGAGCGTGGTCGGTGGTTGGATGGGTGACCGCCCACACGTTACAATAGTATACTACAATAACATGCAATATTCGTTACCTTTTCTCTATGTGATCAGTTGATCAATTACAGTTGCGAATGAACAATGATTACAGTGGGGAGATACACGTCATACTACTTCAACACGTCTATATAAAACGGATGTTTGCATGCTTAACACTCCACTGGCAATCAAGTCAACTTGACAATAATTATTATCTGTATTTCTTATCGATACAAATGTCCTTATCTCACATCCATTCCGATACCTTATATAAACGAGGAGAGTAGTATAGTAGCACAGGTAATAACCTACAGAAGCATTGTATATGTATAACACATTCAGTGTTTATTTACTACATAAAGTATTACATGTATATAATCAAGTATTATATGTAGTACAAATACAGTATAACATGTATAACAAACAATACTAAATGTATAACACAAACTGTATTACATATATTACACTTTAACTTGCATACGTAATATTCATAACATATTATCCTATAAATGTATGGCTGATCCCGCAAGGACATTGTCAGTGTTTTTCTTATTCCATTATATTAACATTTGCTATGCATTGCCACTATAAAGCACTCCTAAAGCAAGTTCCGTATGATAAGACCATAAAACATGCGTAGTGATATCTCCATGGGTTCAACTAACTACCGGATCGCTTTTCTCCTCCGCACTAGCAAGCAGATAAGCAAAAACAAGAACAAAAAAACTTATGACTCATAAGACTATTATAAAAAGTGAATTGAATATCTTCATTGATGAAAATATGGAAATTGTATCGATATTTCTGTGTTTATTTTCACGAACTATATTTTTTACGCGGAAAGTCACGAAACAACATTCCGTGAGCTATGTCATGTGCTGTTCAACCTCTTGAACAATGACCGCGAAATTCGAGTTTAAAAGTGCGTTGTGAACTGAGGAATGAAGATTTGTTAAAAGATGATTTCATTAATATTAATAATGATTACTGATTTACTAGAACGCATAGCAATATTTAATAATAAGAAAGGTAAGTGCGATTGTACTAGAATGTTTATATAACAATATATTTAAGTGATAACCGGAAATGAAATAAAGAACATTCATATGATACATTACAATGCACTTCAGAACAAAACTTAAATGGGTAGAAATAGACATGGCAATCCTCAGTTGGTAAAAAATATCCATGAAACTTGAATGTGTTAAGTATATTCACAAGAGTTGCCTATTATTTTCCCCTGTAAGCGCGGAACTTTATGTGGTAATGGGACAGGAAACCTATGTTTGCACGACCGGCTTCACGTCTTGGTCTTGTGACGTCACATTTGTTCTCTCAGAGTCGCTATCTTGTTCACTTTGAGAGTCGTCGTCGCTGTTCGCTTCATTGGTATCATCGGTGCCATCGGTATTATCGTCAGTATCATCGTCAATGGTATCCGAATTATCATCAGTGTTATCATCGTCTTCATTTGTATTACTGGAATCTGTTTGGGAGTCATCGTTGTTAGTGTCACTGTTATTATCTGTGCCGTCTGTATTATCATCAGTATCGTCGTCACTGGTATCCGAATTATCATCAGTGTTATCATCGTCTTCATTTGTATTACTGGAATCTGTTTGGGAGTCATCGTTGTTAGTGTCACTGTTATTATCTGTGCCGTCGGTATTATCATCAGTATCGTCACTGGTATCCGTCTTATCATCGGCACCATTATCATCAGTACCAGTGCTATCGTCGGCTTCACTACTATCGCTGGAATCTGTTTTGCCCCCAGGAACTTCGTCATCACATACACCTGCTAGGACAACGGTCTTTTGACACTTTCGTCTCAGCCATAAAGTGTATGTAACGGATGTGTACGGGTCAGGACAACAGGCGTAATTCAAATTTTCAAGATTTACCTCATAGTCTATGATCTCATACTGAGGACTTTTGATGTAGTCGCTCATCAGCAAACCATCCCCGGCAATTGTCATATTCAAACTCTTCTTGTGATATGTCCAGGACCCGAACTTGAGCGGGCATTTGAAATCCCCCGCCGATATGTCAGCACGGTCTGAACTTGTGACCTCTTCGCAGTAGGCAGTCACACGAGTGCCAGGTATCCATACGGCGTTGCCAGACATGTCGACAACGACTCGGATGCTGGCGTACATCTTGCCAGATGTTGCGGCGGCACTGACAACAATAAACAGGTACAATTATATAATACAAATATGACATTTTCAAAATGAACACAAGCTGAAACTATACGTATTGAATATTGATACTTGATTTGATATCGAAAAATTGTTATGCCAAAATATATCATACAAGTAATAATATAATCAAAGCATTTACTTGTTATATAATACTATGTCGGGGGTCCATACGAGCTCGTCCGGAATGTTGATGTTTTTCACCTGTGCATAATCGTCTGGGTCCCAAGTCAGCCGACTATCCTGCCATTTCATCATTTGCCACGTGTCGGCTGTCAACACGTGCTTTTCCTGCATGTAAAATATTTCCAGTTAAATAAACGCAATTAAACACTAAATGGCATTCAATAAGCTATCGATGCAATTAAAAAAGGCAGCAAAATAAGAACATTTCAAAAAATACAAGAATCAAACATTATTACTCGGTTGGGCATTACTTCTGTTTTAGAGGGAGATAGCTTTGCTATCAGGATGTTAGTCCTATCCTTTCTGATATAATGGTAGAGATTTGGTGTATGGACTAAATCATACATATGTTACTTGAAAAGTAAGATATTGGCGTTGTGTCATTGACCAGGACAATCAACCAAAATTGTTGCAGTCCAATCAACTGAACAAATAGTTCAAACTAAGCTCGTAATTATGCATGCATGGACATTGCCACTCTTCCATGAACTATCCTTGACAATCGACGTCACATTCCTACTGATCTCTCTGCGACAGCTACGGAGGAGTACGTACCATGCTGACGATTCTCGTGAGTGTGAGACTGTGAGACACTGTGACAGTGTGGAGAGGACCGAGCGACGGCCTAGCATGTTTGTTGTAACTGTAAAACAAATCATCCAGAATGTCCTCCTCCGGTATATCAGAGCGACCTGTTGGAAGAGAAAATCTTGGCATGAAATTATCAAGTCAACTTCTCGCGAACAGCGATTTAATTATTTTTTTTTTATATGTATTAGCTATTCACTCACCGAGGCCGATGTTCTAGTTCTACCGGTTACTTCAACAAAATGAAGATTATGCAAGTTATGATAGGAATTGCATGGCTTAATGATGTAAAGATTACTTAAATGTACAAGAATTGGTTGCAGATTTAAAGGAAGATAGTGTAGCACTAATGGCCAAGCCAGGAGGAAGGTAATTCCATAGAGGTATTGTTCGCGAAAAGAAGTTTTCTTTTCTAACGGAAGTTTTGAAGGAGAGTATTTGAAAGGAAAGTTCATGAGAATGTCTGGATAAGTGATATAATGGGACCCTTAGCGCGAACGGGATTTAGGGCGAAACAACCCGTAACCGATCAGATCTGTGGAGCAAACAGCTTTTTGTTTATTTACTTTTTATACATAATAGTGAGACGAGAATCATAACGGCGGTCTTCCACGCTACGCCACTGCAAGTGGTCCAGCAAATCGCTCACACTAGACATATTCCCGTGGCGATAGTAACAAAACGGGTAACTCGGCATTGGAGCTTCTTAATTTGGTCAATTGTTTTTTAAATGTGGATCCCAAACAACACTGGCATATTCGAATTCTAGGACGGACCAGGGCTTTTTCCATTATCTTGGTCGAGGATATTTTCGGGTTACTCCTCAGGAAACTAAGGAAACTGGTGGCACAAGGTCACAAGGTCACAAGGTCAGTCTCCTCTGGGTATCAAGGATGTTTGTCTTAGCAGTTTCAGTCTCAAGTCGGCCATTTCGTTTGAGGGAGGCTATTCCACTGTGGTACGTCTATGTTATATAAATGTCCAGAATCTTTTCATGGGGAAAATCACTTTTATCATATTTAGGGGTGATAATACGCTCAATGTAATCCCAGTAGGCCTTGCGAATATTTTTTTGACCAGATGTCTAAGTTCTTTAAATTTCTTTATTATGTTTGTACAATCTTTTCCATCTTTTTATCATCATTTTTATTTCGTGAGTAACCCAGGGATTTTTACAATTTGTCTAAGTAGTTTTATGGGGAACATGTTATTCAATAAGGGAATTTAGCTGTGTTTTTAAGATTTGCCACATTCCTTCAATAGTCAGGATGTGCATAGGGATACTAATTCGTTTCTAATTGTGCCCCAATTCGCCTTATTATACAGCGGTATGTTTCTAGGTTTTTGTGTAATCCTTTTGGGTGGATTTAGAATTTCCATAAACACAACATCATGGTCAAAAATACCAGGCAAAATTTTCTACACGTTTGACCAAGGCAGGGTATTTATTATTGAAAGGATAGAGTGTGTTATTTTGTCGAGTTGGTAAGTTGACGAATTGGGTCAGGCCACAGTCATCCAAAAGATTGCCAAAATCATAGTGATTGTTCTGGTGTGTGGTATTGGGTTTCAGTGCTCGGTTTTCCAAATCCCATCCAGGGAGATTGAAATCACCTCCAGTTAACAGTGATGAGTTTGTAATCTCTGTTGCGCGGTGGATGGAGTTTGCGAACATTCGTTTGATGATGTTTTAGAATTGTAGTTTGAACATAGATAGGGAGATCCATTTCCTACAGTGTCTAATTTTGCCCATATCAATTGGAGGCATGATCTCTGTGACTATGTCCCTTACATATTCCACCTCCCTCATTGTCCTTTCTGTCACTGCAACAGATTTTGTAACCTGTGGGAAAGACTTCATTATCACTGATCTTATGGTTAAGCCATGTCTCAGTTCCCAGAATGACACCAGGTTCAGAACTCTGAAGGATGGTGATATAAGGTGGTGTTTGTTTTTTATTGATTGTAATTTCAAATTGAGGACGCGCAGTGGTTTGACTGATTTGGAATAGTTATGGTATGCATTACGCTTACGAATCAGTGTTGAACAGTGAACAGGAGTTATGTTGCTAGTCACAGAACTAGTGCTACTGAGTCTGCTGTTGGAAGTGGTATCAACAAGGCTCTCAACATGATTCGAGGTGTGCTAATACCATAAAGATCATGATTGATGTGGCTATAGTTAGGCCGATTGCATATTAGGCAATGCCAACTTACCATACTATCATTCAATGCTTCATAGGAATGTTGTCAATATCTTGACAGTTGACATGAAACCACTGGTCACAAGTCTCTCAAACAATATTACTACAAGTTCTACATAGGTACTTGGTGCTACCGCTGGATGGGCCAGGGTTAGTTTCATTTGGACATAATTCACTCTCATTGGACGTATGCTTAATGAATGATTCGTTAATATCACACATATGGGGAACTTTCACTCTCTAGCATGTCTCTAGAGTCAGGATAGTGATCATGTGACCTATAGTAATTGGTCTGAGTGAAATACCCATATGCGACTTTGTCTTAATGTAAACAACAAGATTAGATTCGGTTTCGATTTGATGGCGACTTGCCGGTAAGCAATGCGTTGGCCCGGTGAGCACAACACATGACAATGTTAACACGGATGAGTTGTTATCGTCTTCATCCTAGGTGCGACCCCAGGGCGCACAATGATGCACAAACATATGAGCGATGTAAAAACAAAAAGTGCAGCGTAGGGCAGTTTCAAAGACCCCCTAAGTAAACAGGTGTTTTTTTACCGGAAGTTGATCATCTTAGCTACCCACCCTAACAGTGCAGATGTGGGAAAACAACGAAATTTTGTCACGGAATGTATAGTTCAAGATGGCATTATGTAAAAAGTAATAAATCGCTGCAAACGAAATTTCCCAGTATGCCAAACACATTTCGGGTCTCACAGCAGCTGCTAACTCGAGGAAATTATGTTAGACTCAGGTGATTGGCGAGAGACCATCCGACCCCCAGCGCATGCGCACTCCTCATCAACATTTTAATAATTGATGTATATGTTAATTGTATTGATTGTATATACATGTATATGTTCTGTAAAGCGCTGTGTTATAGATGCAGACACATATAATATAATATATATATACAACATCTGATATAGCGCCCTATCCAGCTAGAATTAGCCACTCTAAAGCGCTTTGCAGTACATATATATGTATAGACAATCAATATAATTAGCATATAAATTAATCAATATAATTTTGAGGAATTCGCAGAAGCTGTCCTATCAGGCGCTAACTACTATAGTCCTACGCTACCTTGCTAATATATAACCTTGTGTGTATGATTGCGTGTGTGCTGGAGATGTATTGTGTTCTGTTTGTTGTGGGACCGTGCTTACATTGGTATCATTTATAGTGCAGCCTCACTTGAATGCTACAGCACAGATAACCCAACATTCACCCCAGACCATTTTATACTCCAACTTGGTTGTTGGAGTTGTGTGGTCAGGAGAAAAAACACTTTCTCTGAATATTCCATCTTCCTCTTCCTCTATAAACCTTCCTCCGTCAATATTGACGATTTAGGAATTCTAGTCTTGTGCTGTAGTGCGTTGTTATGTACAGTGATTTTTTTATTATATTTTTATTATTTGCTATAGGTTAATACAGGTTAAACGCAGTGAGTGTAAGTTATGTTGTAGGTTTTGTATATGTTCGATTATGTTATTTGTTGTGGTGCATTTCCTGAATTCTGCTAGTGTTTCTGATTGGATTATTGTTTTGGGTAGGAGGTTCCACTGTATTATGGTGTAGATGGAAAGAAGGAGTGTCTGTATGTGTCTTTGGATGTGTAGATATGTCTGTAACTAAGGTCGTGTCCTTGACGTGTTCTAGTGTCTGCCGGGATGAGATTGTTAGACAGTATCGCTACATGTTGGTGTGTTATTTTGGAAAGAAGAATACTGCGTGTTCTTGTTCTGCGTGAGTGTAGTGTTGGCCATTGCAAGTTGTGTATCATATCTGTAACTGAGCTTGTGTTATGGTATTTGTTAAGGACGTATTGCGCTACTCTGCGTTGTACTTTTTCTAATTGATTTATGTTATTTGTATAATGAGGGTCCCAGACTGAAGAGCAGAATTCAAGTTCTGGTCTTACAATGGCCTTGTATGCATGTTCTTTAATGTGTGGTGAATTTGTTTTTAAGTTGCGTTTCAGAAAGCCTAGTGATTTATTTGCATTTGATGTGATGTTGTTAATGTGTTTGTCCCATTTTAAGTTGTTTTGAAGTGTAGTACAACGACTTCGGTGATCGAACCCTGGCCGCCTCCGTGGAAAGCCGGAGTATTCACCACTCGACCAATCCGCCCATAAACAGGATAATATGTAAAAATAAACTGGCTGCCAGACAACAGACAAGACAAAACCATCGACCGATATACGGATGAAGTCCGAAAATATACCTCTCAGTCTTCGCCACTCATCAGATCATCATTGTAATTATAAGAATCTGCAGAATCTTCAAAATCTTCAGATATGATACCAAACTTAATATCAATCACATCAGCCACCTTAACATGTTCAAACACTAATGCAATCCTAAGAAGATGGCTACTCTTCCGGATCATAACTGGTGCGTTGACAACGTAAGTAATAAGGCCATGTTGTTCATATTCCAACATTGTTTTAGAATAAAAACCGTCCAACATAAAGTCGGAAAAAGATTAAAAAGAGAGTACCAATACAAGAAAATATGAAGATATCAATATTGTTTCAAGTGCTTATTGAGAGCAAGTATAACACTAATATCAGACGTTAGCAAGTTGCAGTGTTAAGTTGAATAAACGACTCATCTTGCAAGATTCATACAAATTTTATATATTTCGGCGGCAAAAATAATCAAGGTATACAGATGAAGGTTGATATGTCATAACAGCCAACAGGATTAACAGGTTTAAGTTAAGTCGTGGAAGTACCCTAGTGTGAAGTTTTGGGAATTCCAAATTTATATGACATAGAGGTCTGAAAAACGTTGAAGGAGAATGGAGAGTTTTTTTCAATAACAACCAGAGAAAACTGAACTATCAACAAAACCATAACTCGAACTCAAAATCTATAAAATAAGGCA